CCTATCCCCTGTGTGCCTTGCACAATCCGGCTCGAAGGACCAAATTAATGTTTGTGAAATTGCCGGCTTGCGGGCCCCACGTGAGCTCGCGAGAAGGATGCTTCGCGAATAACGTGGTCGGAAATGCTGGGGTTTCCTTACTTTCTTTATTTATCTTCTCTCTCAACGTAACACAAGCAAGGTGTGGTTTGGATGACCAACAATTTACGCACAAGAACATAGATCCTTTGCTGTCTCTTTCACGACGCTCAAACTCGTTCTGGCAGGCACGGCTATTCCGCCGGCGTGCTTGGCTATTCCGCCGGCGTGCTTGGTACGAAAGAAAGCGGAAGCACACGAATCGGTGGTCGCGCGCGGCAAACACCGTGACGTCTCTCCCGAAAATTGGCGCTTAGATTAAATCATAATAATGTATCGAACATTCAAACTTTATCATGGTTACCGTTTTGTAGAATATGAAATCTTCTTGTTTATAAAATTGATTAGTACATAACTGATGTAAAATTAGATATGTTTTTTCATTATCTTTGTTTTGCACATATTCTTGTTTTTTTAACCTATTACAAATTTGTTGTAAAGGATTTCTAGTAGCCTGAATTGTTTCTTTGGTCTCAAATAAATAATTCTCATATTTAAAGCAACTGAAAGAATCAAGTGGACCATGTTGCAAGCAATCTGTGGGCAAATGTATAAGGCCATGAACGTTATGAGAAATATATTCTTTTTCATAATGTATTGCATATTTTTTAATAAAGTATTCAAGTAGTTCCAATGAGTAATTATTATAAATTCTGTATAATGCAGGACTGCATAAAATTCGAATAAGGCCATGAAATGTGTGCATATATTTTTGTTTGCAATCTTTTTTAAAACAACTGGTCCGCTATATAATAAAAATTGCCTTAATTCAGTGGCTTTATACAGGGTGTCCCATTTTAAGTGGGCACCCCGAACTTTGAAGGAAGTGATTTTCAAAGAAAATGACCCAGACAAAAGTTGTTGCACTCAGAGAGGGACATCCAATGGTGACATTGGTTTAACCTGGGTGTACGTGACAAGGTCATGGAGGTCAACTTTGTTTTTTTAAATGGAACACCCTATTTTAATTCCAA